GGGGGGGGGGGGGGGGGGGTTAGATTGTTGCCTCACCCACTCATTCTCCCTGTCTTGCTCGCTCCCTACACAGGAGATGATGACAGTCTTTCAGCTGTTGCACTGGAACGGGACACTGAAAGCACTGCGGGAGAGGCAGTGCTCTCGACAGGTACAGGCCTTATCTAACATCTCAGTTCAATCAGGAGAGACTGCAGTTAAAAAAGGAAGAGAAGAAAGTGAAGTGATATAAGTGAGAGTCCATTTGGTGATTAGACATCTTGACAGGTTGAAAGCAGGTGAGAACGTGCTTTGTGTAGGAAACATCCGGTGTCTAGACACTGGTGGTGGCTTATGGGATGCACAGAATGTTCAGAATCTGTGATGAGTGGACAGGATATAGAGATTCGCGATTGGATGATTGGGGTGATTTGGGAGGAGGAGGTTCACAGGGAAGCATTGAAATGACAGCTGACAACAAGAGAGTGGAGAACAGATTTAAGGTTATTATATGGTCTTGACCTTATAATGTAAATTCCCTTAAGATGTATGTTGTGATTTGGTGCCTTACAAATGAGATTGAATTGATTAGAAGAGGGAGGAGAGCGAGAGAGTTAAATGGTTCGTAGAGAAAGTCATCCTGATTGAACTTCGTTCCTGGTTATAGTAAACCTTGATGAAACTTCAGTGTGATGGCTGCATGTTTTCTTTCCTCCCTCCCAGAGTGTGATTGCCTACTACGCTCAGCGAGGTCTGGATGAGTGCATGCGCAGCAGCATGGCTCTGGATTGGCTCGAGCGGGAGCAGAGGTCACCGGGGCAGCTCGGGGAGGAGCTGCAGGTGGCGCAGAGGGAGCTGGTGCTTGCCCGGCGTCGAGGCATAGAGCTGCGCTTCTACAAGGAGAAGACGGAGATCCTCAGCTTGGCTCTGAGTCAAGCTTACAGTCACCACACACCCGAGGCCTCGAGCCCGACGCAGAGTCACACCTACGAGCATGAACAATTTCCTTTACACGCATTATACAGCCAGGAAGCAGAAGTCCAGATCACACCGCCCTGCAGTCCATCACCAACCCTTCATAAAAACACAAAGCAAACACTCTGGCAAAACTCTGGCAAACACTTGGCCTCCAGCAGTCCTTCACCACGCTCACAGCAGAATTATGGGACTTTAAAAAGAATGAAGAAGAAGGGTGAGGATGGACGATATAAACTTTCATTTGACTCTGAATGAGCTTAACGTCTGCCACTCGAAATGTGAGAGAACAGAATGTATCCAGCAAGGTCACTGTCTTCAGGTTTTTTCATCAAGAGCTAAAAATACTTTGTGCATATGTGTATTAATAATGCTCTAATGTAATTAACACTCTTTTATGAATATAGGACTAAGAGTTAGTGATGCCTGTGTTGCAACTTTAACCACAAGAAGTGCAGCAAATTGTTTAAATCAAGTAGTATTAATATAGTTATTGTGTATTGTACATTATCAATAATCACCATGATATCATTTTTATTAATAGGAAAATAACAGAAGTCAAATATATAAATTGATGTCATGGCTGTGCAGGCACAGTGATGAGGTATAACACATAATGAATCTACCTCAGATTGTGTTTGTCATGCTGTGCCCTAAAAAAGAGTTAAAACCACAACCTTCTCTCAGGAGCAGAAATCAGTCTGTAAACTATGGACTGTTAATAACAATGAACGTGGACTCGGGGTGCAGAAAGTGCAGCCATTGCGGAAGTTCCTCATGACCATCAGAGTTTCTATAGAAGTCTCTAAAATCACTCTCATCTGATTTATAACCTCAGTAAACATTTTCCTCAGGAGTGTATGGTCTCAATCTTTCAAGTCTTCTCCTGTACACCTAGATGTTCACTTAGTAAATCATGATTCCATTTAGACTAAAGGAAATTTCCACTGTTGAAAAAGTATTTCTTTTTGGCCCAGCCTAACCAGTTACCATTTATTTGTTTTTGTATAAAGAGCATCTCTGTCGTATAGACATATATGATCATGATATTACAATGTCACCCATAACTTAAAATACAGGAATTTTAGAGTTGTTTAAAGTATTGAGTAAACTGTTAACTAATGCAGCTCAGGGCTTCTCCCTGCCTCACTCTCACCTGATGTGTTCATACTTACTGGATACTGAGCAACTGAAGTGAATGCTTTATAAAGGGAAACATTTTGCTTGTGTCTTAACAGACTACATGTTGGAGAATATTATTTACACCAATTTAGATTATTCTTATACTTTTCTTGCATGGGTGACATAGTTTTTTGATAAGGAACCATCTATAGAGGTTTTATAAGCGGTTATTAATGCTTAATAAATCACTTACTAACATTATAGATGCATAATATCTTTCCACTGCTGACACGCCATTTTCCTCATCATAGGTAGAATAAATGTGCAGCATTCACAACACACAAGAGAGGAGGAGAAAGAGAAAAGGAAAAGCAGAGAAGAGATCTGTCTTTCTGACTGTCTATCTGTCTGTCTTTCTATAACATGGTTTTATTTGACTTTTATTTACTTTTTATCTCAGTAAATATGGAAACTTAAACAGACAAAACCATTCATTGACTTTCTCTGGAGACAGTGGACCTAGTTTTATCCACATTTTCCTTTATTCTAAATTCAAATTTAAAAAAAGCAGGTTCCCACTTCGGCAATGAAGATGTCTGATTAATTACATTGACTCTGATACATTCCAGACATGATGAATATACAGTCATTACAAAGAAGATCCAACTAGGAATCTTTGTCCAAATGATTATTCAGTTGTCAACTACATTCTTTAGTTTCTTCACTTCATTGAAGTTCATTGTCTTCAAGTTTAAAGCTCAGTTAACTCATAGAGTTTTACTTTAGAACAACTGGATGAACTTAGAATGACTCATGAAGTAGTGATGCTTCAGTAAAATCAGTTTCAAAGCAGAATTTAAAATTATGTTTAAGTTCAAACTGAAATGAAAATGATTATCAGAGTGGGTTGAAAGGCACTTTTTGACTCTTTGTTTCTGTCCATCGTTGTGTCTGTGAGGGAGTTTGATGTAGTTTCACGATGTCCTGATGGTCCTGGATGAATATCTTGATCTAACAGGGAGACAGTAGGAAACAATGATTATTGTCTGTTGCCTGTGGCTGTTTGTCACCATCTCTGTCAGAGTACGTACCTTCTCCAGCTGTTTCTCAGTGTCATTCATCCCGACACCTTCTTCTCCTTCTAATTTGCCACCTGTCGTTTCGTAGAAGTTGAGAGTTGCCATCTTCATCTGTCCCAGGAGGAGTATTTTCTTTGCAGCTGTTTCCTGAATGTGGTTCCACTTCCTTTCCTGTGTGAAGACGGGGACAATTGAGTTACGTACAGGAGATATGTTCAACCTCTAAGCATCATTTGATTTGGTGCATATGACTCAGGATGATGTGTGGTACCCAGATCAGAGCTTCAGAGCGTGTCTTGTCCAGCCTGGCCTCAAGCTGGGACAGCTGGTTGCTCCTTTGCAGCTGCATCAACTCCTGCTGGTTATCCAGAGCTGCGAGAGCTTTTCTCTGCTGCTCAACCTGCTCCTCTGCCTCTCTCTCCCTCTGACAGAGCTGCTCTCTCAAGTGCAGCTGACTCTCCAAGTTATCTGCCAGCAAATCTGCATCTTTGAACTGTGACACACGCACACACACACACACACACACATGTTGAAGCTGCAGTCATAAAATGTACCATCATTATCTCCTCAAAACATACTACGGTTTTCAAAAGAGACATTTCTACAAATTACTACACTCATCCACCTCTCACAAGTTCACACAGTGTAGCTGCTGTTTAGGTCATCATCTCAGGACAAGGTGTATCAATATTTATGTTGGCTTTCCACTATAATTTAACAATTTCCAGGGGTCAAAATGAGTTTAGGTCTCTCAATGTTCACTTACAAGATATTTAGATTATGGACTGTGTGAGGGAAGTTGTTGGGCATTTTATGACTCAGAGAAGCGAGAGACGTCAAAGTTTGTCGATAGTATGTGTTTTAAAAAAGTGGTTCAGTAAATGCAACTTATTGCCTCCTCCAGGGAGGATAAAATTCTGTTTTCATCTGTGTTTGATTGTTAGCAGGATTATACAAAAAATACTGAATGGTTAAACACAAAACTTGGTGGTAGGATGTGATATGGGGGGTCAGGAAAGAAAGCAACTACATATTGGTGCGGATATTGGTCTGGATCAGGGGGCAGATCAGGGACATTTTTTGACCCTTTTTTTTAACATTGTGAGATTGTGTTTCTCAACATTTCCCTTAATTCCTCAGAGAATAATTCATTGATATTTGAATTAGCAGATACATACACTCTACTGGTTACCATTCTAGTGTTTTCATTGGTGTTTGATCGTTTGTTTGGTATTTAGCATGATTATGCAAAATCTACCAAAATGATTCCCATGAATATTTGCGGAGGGGTGGGACACGACCTAAAAAGAACACATTCATTTTCTGAGTTTTTTATTGGTTTAATCACATGTTTCTCTGCCATGTAAAAACCCTCACATTAAAGTATACCTTAGTCATTGTCACCATCCGCTCCATGATGTCCCGGTACACAGTGTGTCTCTGCACATGATGGTCAAGCTTGTGTTTCTTCTGCATCAGTTCAGCCTTCTTCTCTTTCAACGTCTCTATGTGTTTGTTCTTCTGAAGAGCCTCTCTCCTCTCCCTCTCTGCTTTCACCATAGTTTTATCAACATCAGCCTCCTGCTCAGAAGGACACAGAGGTTGTTTTTAGTTTGTTAGGCTGATGTCATCTGACACAGGAGTCATGTGAAATATGGTTCTCTGCTGTACCTTGAGGAACATGTCAAAGCTCAAGTGTAGCTCCTGGGCTTTGTTGTAATCCTTTTGCAGCTCATCTATGCACTTTTTCAAACTCTCCAACTTCTAAATGAAAACACACACAGAAGTTCATTAGTTCATACTCAAATGTAAATCTTCTGACTACCAAAAGAAAGATTTCCTTTTATTTGTCTTATTTACTAAAATACTAAAGAGATGTGTTTGTTTGTTTTATCAATGTTATGTTGTCCGGTATTTTTGCTTCGGTATCAAACTCAGAAGTTTTTTAAAGAAAGAAGAAATAAACCTCAGCTGTCAGTTCCTCACCTGTTCACGCTCCTGTATCTCTTCTTTCAGCTGCTCGTCCTCCTGGCGTTTCTTCAGCAGCTCAAAGATGGCAGAACTCCTGTCAAGTGCTCTTGTCATCACTGGGCTACACACAGAGGGAGAGAGACAAAGAGAGACAGACAGACAGACAGACACACAGAGAGAGAGAGA